TCATAAACCATGGCTGCCTATCCAACTATCGAGACTATCAAGGAGTGCTTGAAAAAGTTCTGCGCAGCTAAGGGACTTGCTCTCCCTCCTCCAGTGTCGCCTGAGATTGCTAACAAGACCATAAACCTGAACTGCAACTTTCCCGTTTGCCCAGGCTGGGAGCAGTTTTTGGATATCAAGGTAATAGGTTTCTTAACTTTCTCATAAGTTGCGGAAGCTCTTTTAACATGCAAGATGTTTTATAGTTAAATTCTTAGAATTGCTAATGTCTTTAGTAAGTTTAGATCTTACCTTTTTCGAGTTCTTATCTCCTAGTATGGAAAGCATAAGACTAGATGGTGTGATTAGCTTTTTAATCTATTTTCATCTCTAACGTATTATTCTTGTTACATATTTTTTCTTATGGGTTAATTGCTGGTGGACCCTTGTAGTATCGCTGTAACTTACTACCCCTCTAGTTTTATTTTTGTAGATAGACCCCCTGAGTAAAAAATTTTTTTGACTCATTTACCCTCAGGGTGTCCATTTGTCAAAAAAAAAAAACAATTTTCTTTCTGTAAGGGTAAAAGATTAAAAAAATTTCACTTGGGGGTCTATCTTCAAAAATATAAAACTTTAGGGGTATTAAGTTCAAAACAATGATACTACAGGGAGTCTATTCGTAATTAACCCTATTCTTATTTATGGTAAGCTGATTAATTCAATGCTTAATTTTCTCTTGTGTTGATAAATGAACTGATATGGATCTCTAGGAGCTGAGAACACGAGAAAAACTTTAATTTCAATAAATTTTAGATGGGTTTATACATTATACCCATCAAAAGGCAAATTTAGTGAAGAGAAATTTTTATCTTCTTAATTATGATAGAACTATTTGAAACGGATATCTTTCCCCCCAAATCTTGATTAGAAATAAGATGAAAGGTGAAATAAATCACTGCAAACTTGTGAGAGGAAGAGAAGATTATTTTTCCCTTCCTTTTCGCATTAGTTTTGAGAGGGTGAGCCTTGGCGCAACGGTAAGGTTGTTGCTTGTGACCTGGAGGTCATGGGTTTAAATCCTGGAAACAGTCTCTTCTTCGCATGCGGGGGTAAGGTTGCGTACATTTGGCCCTCCCCAGAGCCCACAATGGTGGGAGCCTCGTGCACTGGGCTACCCTTTTTTGTCCTCAACAAACACTAAATTATGCAGCGAAAATGGATTCAGATTGGGCGTGCATGTGGCTTTATTTCTGAGTATTTGTCTTTGTTTTTTTTTTCTTCGATATATCCTCTCGTCTTATTTGATATTGCAGACTGGAGAAGTGTACTTCATTAACAAAAAGAGTGGGGTAAGGATCAACAACAAGCCTCATAATGCACAAGGGCATAGTTATGGTAATACAAAAATCAACAGGGTCAATGGAAAGTCTGTTGCCTTTGTTGCCCCAGCTCCCATTCCAACGGTGTTGGTTGTTTGTAACAAGTGTACCAAGTGCATGATGGTTGCCAAGGACACCAAGGCTTGCCCTAGATGCGGCCAAATTTTGATCCATTTCATCGATGAAAGGTGCTTCTGAACGAAATGAATGAAAATCCGTGGACCTCAGTTATATGGTGTGTAAATGTAAAGTTTTGTAGTGAGACTATTATGTGCTCTTTCGCTTTGTTTTTTATTGCAATCAGTATCCTATCTAGGGTTATGTTTTGTGTCGAGTCTCTAGAGAGTGTTGTTTTGTGTTGTGTACTTTTCAATTTCAATTGATATTTCTATAATAGCATTTGGGATTTCATGTTCGGAAATTTTACTTAAATAGAATTTTACTGCAAGTAGTTTGTACATCACTGTGGTTGTGAAGTACTATTCGTCAATAGAGAAATATGTACACTTCTATTGGCTTTATCAAATACAGGAGAATACAATGTTCTAATTAATGAGTGGAGGTCAAGCATTGAACCAATGAAGCAAATGGCAATACACCAGGATGTATGGGTCTTTTTAGGTGCACGAGAAAGTCTGTCTAGTTCTGTCAATATGGAAATAAATTTCTGCAAATGGACAAATGTTAGTTTAATGAGTCCTAGTTTCTTTTTTTAAAGCTTATCTTGAGATTGACCAAATGTCATCTGTTAGCTTGTGTTATGCTTTCATCTCCCTGGATGTAGAGCAGCTATATTGTGTTTTGACTTTGAAATTGAGAATTTTTATGGCTAAATTTCACAAAATCTCCAAGAACTTTGGTTGCCTTGTAAAAAACCTTTCTAAACATTATAAACCTCTTGAATTTGTCTTGACTATCATCACAGATGATAGTTTAAGTTCTTTGGTGCTCAGCAAACTACATGTTTTCAACAAGTGTGGCCTTATATATCTTTAATTTTACATTAAACAGTTTTTCATGGTAGGATAGGTATAAAATAACAGGGGTAACATAGACCTCCTTACCTTTTCATGGTAATGTTGTTTATGAAAATTTCTAATAAGCTTAAATGGCAGAAACAATATATTTTTTTCAAGAATTTTTTCATTTCAGATTTTTTTCCCGTCTTTTTTTAGATTCCATTTTCTTATATTTTGGCTTCTTCTGTCTCTTAATTTTAAGTAGTGTTATTAATGTTTCTCTTGGTTTACTAGAGATTACTTCTTGTTTTTTATTAACTGTAGATTTTTTAAAGATCTATTTTGTTTTTTTATAAACAGCAGATGGCTATTGTTTTACTAAACGTTACTTGATTTTTTTAAATTTTATTTTTTAGGTTTACAAGAGATTCCAATTTCTAATTTTGATTAACCTTAGCTTTTAGTTTTTCATAATTAATTGATGTGCTCGTAGTTAATTGATGAACTGTACTTTTGGTATAGCTAGAGTTCCTAGCATGCTAGTTTGCTATCGTGAATTGTTTATCTAGAGTTGCTAATTATAGTGGTGATGTAGCTTTAGTAAAAATGTGAAACTGTGAAGTATGTGAATATGTGACGTTTGACTTGTGAAATATGATTTAATATTCTACAAATATATGTTTATTGTTATTTGTTTTGGGTTGATTGTTGATATTGATTATTAGTCTTCATTTGACTTTTGATTAGAAAATTATGAACTTTACTATGTTGGGTGTGTTAACATCTTTTTTACATGAAATTCACAAGCAAATTCCTTTGTGCTTGTTAATCTTGAAAAATTATGTGTTGTGTGCACCTTGCATGGGCGCGTGCATTGCATTGTGCTTTTGTGCATGTGACCACGAAGGGACTTTGCGTCCCGGAGTACACAGGTAACTTCTATGCTTCACATCCACTTATAAGTTATTGGGTTGGGAATGAGTTCATTTCAGTCCATACATAGTTCAGAATTATGATCTTAGAAAGTTGTTTAGACATTTAGTTCAAAAATGAGGGTTTCCCCAATTTATAATGTACAATTATACACAATAAAAATAAACACAAAACTGTTATAAGTATATTTAATTCTCCCAACGTGTAAAAAACAGTATTCATTACATACAAGTTCAATCATAGGAGGGAAAAAATTCCCTTCAACGGGTTGGTACTTTGTGAGAAATGCACCAAAGTACATGATGGTTATGAAGCCCGCACAGGCTTTGCCTCGGCTGCAGCAAAAACCTCAGTTCCGCGCACCAACAAAGCACCTTCAAAATGAAAGGAACAACTCTCTGTTACGTATCTGTGTAAAGAATATGTTGAGACTATATTTTTGTGTCGATGCTATGTCTTCTAGAGGAATTATGTTATGCAATGTTATCTTTGCTTCTCTATTTCAATCTACATTGCCACTCAGCATTTACAGTTTCACGTTTTGAACATTTTAGCAGAATCTAAGCATTCAACCATAATTGCAAGAAATAGACTGATCATTACAATGGCTCTGAAAGTTCTCTCGACAACAGAAAAATGTACATTTCTATCGGCTTTATCCCATATAGAGGAACACCAACTTTGATGGAAAATAATGGACCTATACAATTGTGGGCCACTCCAATGTTCCCGAATATCACAAACCCAAAGAATTACATGCTTTGCTTAATGTTTAGACAAGTATCATATTATATTATATACAGAGTAATGATGGAGAAATTGGAGGAAGCGGTCACCCGAGTAACTCCACCAAGATGCCCTTGCATCAGGTTTTGGTTACTGCAGTCTTGCAAATAGGACAAGAATTCTTCTGAAGCAGCCACTGCTTAATGCAGTACACGTGATATCTATGGCCGCACTCCAGCTTCCCCATTTCATCATTGTCTTCATATTCTTCCTGTAAAATAGTCATAAATATAAAATTCAAGCTCTTACACTGGTGATGCATACAAAGCTGCAATGTCGAAATGTTTATTATAAGCTTTAGAAGATGTTAAACAAGCTTAGGGTGTATTCTGCATTTGGCGTGTGTAATGCTTTCACCAATTTAAAGCATACTAGAACACAAGCGTGTGCAAATGTACATAACATTAAAAAAAATTACATGAAATTTCTAACTTCTGATTAGGATGTACTGGATACAATGATGGGATCGAAATTGGAATCATTTCATGATTTCATATTTTATTAAACCGGCACAATAGTTTTTTAGCATAAAAACAATATTTATCATAATAAAATATTCTTTATGAAAGTAATTTGACATTTGAAAGAAATCTGATTAAAAACTTTTTCCTAAGTAAATTAATTTTTCATGGAGTTCATAGGAAAATATACAAAGAAACAAAGTCAAAGTGATATAATCAACGTCCAGAAAGTGAAACTGTGGTTTCATTAAAAAGAAAGAAAATAATTTTAATTTATTTGAGGGCCTGAATTCAAGTATCAAATATCAAATTCAAAGGTTTTAACGTTTAAATGGTTTTGGTACAATTTTAAGTATCTAAAATTTAAAAGTCTAGTAAAAAACTTGAAATCCCATAGGGCCAATCTATAGGATCTCCATTTATATAAAAAACCTTCAGAGAAAATTACTCCTTTGCCCTTAAGATGATAATTGAGTGGAGGACATTTCCTCGATCCCCTCAAAATTTTCTCTGCCCTGAGTCTGTGGTTTATATATTAGTATGAATAAACATATTTCTTTCTGCAATAGCTAATGTTGATAGTCAAAGACTTTTAAGAAAAGCACAAGTCAAAAAGCCTACAGTTAGAAAAGCCGTATTTTCTAGTTCCTCGCAAATGCACAAACAAAATCCAATATTATGTCTTCTCCCTTTTTTTTCCTCTTACCTGATCTAAGAGGATACAATTAACTAAATTTCTTAACTCTATTCCTTTAATTTTTTAGATAAATTTAGTTAATAGACTTCCTCAGTGGATCCACTTCTATCCAAATTGATCCGAAAATATAAGAGTTGAGCTAGACTACTATTAGCAGTATCAAACATGTGAATCTATCCATCGAAATTTTAAATTCTAATTTCTACTTTACAAAAATTCTAATATGGGTTAAATATGTTGAAATCCATTGAAATTTAATTTCTAAACAGTTGATGTGTAGTGAATTTTGCGGTATGTAAGTGTAAATAAATATGTTGGGATGTCAAAGGTAAAAGTACATAACCTGTGGGGTATGTAAGTGAAAATAACCCTATCTAGAAGGTATTCTTTTTCCATTTTTTTAGAAAGTCTAAAAAGTATTCTGTTATGCAAGTTAAAGGTAAAAATAGGTAACCTGTGGGGTATATTAATGCAAACAACCTTATCGAGAAGGTATTCTTTTTTTATTTTTTGAGAAAGTCTAAAAGATATTCTGTTGTGCAAGTTACGAACACTAGGGGCAAGGGCATAAAATTACCCGTATTCAATTTGATAGAAAAATTCGAGATACGTGGCATATTGAGTAATGTAATGGGTATCTAGTGCAAATTAAGGTTGGGGTGCAACAATTAAATTTTGCTTTTTTCTGGACAAATAAAAACATTGGGTATCAAAGATAAGAATGAGGTGAATTTTGGGGCACTTAAGGGCAAATAATGCTATAAATTAACCGTACCTAGTTTGGGAGAAAATCTCGGAATACATGGCGTTTTATTGGGGTGAGTGCGTGTGGATAGTCAATTCACGCGACTGTGTCTACTGTCTAGCATTCCACTCGAATATAATATATACACTCAATTTCAGAGAAGACAGATTCCACATTTGAATCTAAGAATCCATTATTCTTCTTCATATTTAGGTTTAAGAATAATCATACAAATAATTCTCATTATGCAGTTCAAAACCCTTAAACTTATAGATTTCTATCAAAAAAGATATCTTACCTAAATACAGTTCTAGAAACTAAAAGGTAGATTCTCTGACTACAGTTTTCCTGATAAAAGGTCGTAGCCTGTTTCTAAGACCTCCACCCCCTCCCTGCCATATTTCTAGCAAGCCATGCCTCATGAGGGCAATTAGCCTTTCTTCTCATTGGCTACAAATACGCTAAGATCATCTAGGCAAAAATTAAAGGTGAAGTGTCCATCAGGATAAAATCATAAATGGGGTGATCAGCAAAAGGTTGAGAGTTCAGATACCTACTTGGCAAATGCTGCATTTCTTTTCCATTTCACTAGAAAAGTATAGCGGTGAAGCATCGAGAATTGAGTGTTTCATTTTCCTTAGACTACGTGAGATTTCTTCTTCTCTCAAGCCAGTATTGACGTAACCTATTCGGTCGCCAAGCTCCAGCAATTCCTGCCAAAATAAGAAATATGAACCTCTGTTGTCACAAGGAGATGCAAGCAATAAATAAGCATAATGATCAAGAGCTAGATCTTGAGAACAAACCGAGCACCTCATAAGACATCCTATCAACATCGAGTCGCCAATCTCTGTATCGGTCATATACATTCATTCTTCCTGACACCATTCTAGTTTGGAATACCATGACCTGCAAATAGTCAAATTTGGAATGTGAAACATTAACATGCTCGTAGATAAACAATCTTTGTAGGTACAATAGACAATAGCAACTGTACCTTCGATTACCATATCAAAAGATGGATGTCAATACATGAAGTCATGAACAATCTTCATAGCTTCAATATACAACAACCAGAGACTAGTATCTTTTACAATAACAAAAGCGAATTGATGAACAATTTCCATAGCTATACTCACTAATTAGCTTGCAGAATACCTCGAACCATGCGAGTAGCAGAAATGACGGACATAAATATTTTTAACCAAGTAAAACTCACTGCATAACTTGGCATCTACCCTTGCCATTAGTAAGTACTAACAATAGCAATGTAATACAGTAGAACCAAGCGGTGAAGGTACTTAAGCTGCATAAATATGCTAAACCAAGTCAAACTCACTTAATACCTCGGGTCCTACCACTTGCTGTTAATAAGTGCTAACAATAGCAATGTATACAGTAGGACCAAATGGTGAAGGAATTTAAGCTGCATAAATGCTAAACCAAGTCAAACTCACTGAATAACTCGGCTTCTACCACTTGCTATTAATAAGTGCTAACAGTAGCGATGTACACAGTAGAACCAAGTGGCAAAGGTATTTATGCTTGATAACTGAAGATGGAGATTAAGGAGAGTTTTTGTGACTTGGTTTAATTGGAATGGGCACAATCTATGATACTCCTATCATGAAACCCTACCGAATCCAACACCTACCAGGTAATGACACTCCATGAACATATGCATACATTTACGGAAACATGTATTCAATTATATATAATACATATCTTAATTTAAAAAGGTCTTCATGCATCAGTGTGATCAAGGCACAAAGTCTCAAAAGCACACCATTCGCAAGGCAAGGCACAGTCCCAAACAAACATAATGCAAGGTGCTAGGTGATGCGCGCATCTCGGTAAAGCAAGGCACGTCCCACAAACAAAATCTTTTTGATACACGTGTGAAATTAAACCAACATGTTTATGAATTTTGATATTTAAAAAGATATTATAAATAATTTCACTTATCAAATCACGAAATAATGTCTTAATTCATAATCTTAACACTAGCCAAATGAGAGCTATTGTCAATTTAACTCTACCCTTATTTCAGTAATCAATCACAATGAAAAAAAGAACTTTGCTATGAAATCAGACGTGCAAAATTACAACATTCTAAGCAGCAGGACATCTAGCATATTCCATCCAGGCCTTGATTGACCAATGTTTCAACCAAAAAAGACATGCAATCAAATTCTATGCTATTAATAATCATTGACGTCGCAATAACTCGAATAATAGTTTATAATTTTACAACTAATGTTTTAATATAGTAATAACAACAATAGGAAAAAATTTAAAAAGGACGAAAAATATGAGGGAGTTGATCAGAATTTGGAAAAAAATGACAGAAAATGATGAAAGAAAGACAAAGACCAGGCGAAAGAGAAGGAATAAGAGGATGCAGCAACAACATGAGGGGAGCAGTGCGGTGCATTAATGCTAATGAAGGCACATCAAGGGGAAAGGACGAGGAGCACCAAAGCAGAATGAGGCATTAAAAGTGCACTCAGGCACAAAGCTATACGGCATGATGCAGGGCACTCAGCGACAGCGAGGTAGGCGCCCGGGCACGCCATTGTGTACACTTCGCAAAGGTGCATGGCGATCATAAGGGGGGCCTTAATTTCAACTTTGAATTGTGTGGGCAGTTTTAAGTAGTAGGTGTCAACCCGATAAGCCAGTAGTAGAATAGAAGTGGGTTATCGGTGTGAATGATCCCCCGCTCAAATACCCCTCTCCACAAGCGAGCCCTAGTTAGAGACTCCTTCCTTCCCTCCCTCTCGATCAAACTTCACCAACATTCGACGACAAACAAAGACCTCCTATGAGCGAAGATCCCAAGCACACATCAGCAACCAGCAATCGGCAACAAGAAGCAATCTTTTAAGAATCTTTTCATTTCAAAAAATTTTAATCTTTTTTAGGTTTTGTTCTCTTATATTTTGGCCTCTTTTGTCTCCTAATTTTACGTGTTGTTATCAGTGTTTGTGTTGGGTTACTTGATTTTTTTTTGTTTTCTATTAACTGTAGATTTTCATTGTTTTAGTTCTATGTTGTTTTTGAGTAGCAGCACATAGCTATTGTTTATTGACTATAGCTCGAGTTATTTATTAATTTGTATTTTTCAGGTTTATTGAAGATTCCAATTCCTGATTTTATTTAAGCTGATTTTATTTAAGTGTAGCTTTTAGTTTATCATAATTAATTGATGTGCTTGTAATTAATTGATTAACTGCAGTTTTGGTGTAGCTAGAGTTCCTTGCATACTAGCTTGCTCTTGTGAAATGTTTAACTAGAGTTAGTAACTGGAGTTTTAACAAAGATATAGCTAAAGCGTGAAACTGTGAATATGTGAAGTTCGACTTGTGATATATGATTTATTATTCTATAAATATATGTTTATTATTATGTGTTTGGGGTTGATTGTTGATATTGAATATTATATCATATGTTTATTATTCTATAAATATATGTTTATTATTCTATAAATATATGTTTATTATTATGTGTTAGGGTGTAACCTTTTCACTTTAATCATAGAATCGGACATATTTCTTGTTGCTAGAAAAGCTCAATAGTATCTGCAAGACCTAAGGCCATGACAAGTGCCTCAATTTTGCGAAACTCTATTTGGCAAAGGATGAAACTTTTTATTATTACTTTTGGTAACTTTTAATTCAAATTGTAATGAGTAGTAAGTTACATAGTCGCACTTATTTGGGTCACAAATGTATTTTCTTTTATTTTTAGTCAAATTAGGAGTCTTAAGTCTATATAGAGGCAGGTTATTGTTATCTTTTAACAGATTTTAGTTTTAATAAAAATGTTATCTAGTTCTTTTCTTCAAGGTGAATTCATGGTACCTTACAGACTCAAGGCTTTCAACATATCTATCCCATGGTATAGGTCTTAATTCCAATCACTTCCTCATCCTTCTTGTTATGTTAGGAAAAGTGACTTAAACCCATTGTCGGTCAGTCCTCTTTATTAAGTCCTCTTTATTAAGTCCTCTTTATTATATAGATAGATAAATAGTTTAAGATTACAAGTGTTCCCGATGTGGGACTAAAACACTTCACAAATAAATCTACTCTAGTACTCGCCCTCAAGCTAGTACATAGATGTTAATCATGTCTAGCTTGTTACAAAACAATAACTGTGGCAAGACTTTTGAAAGTGTGTCAGCACTTTGATCAGTTGAGCGAACATGTGGAGTCACAATCTTCTTAGACAACACCATATCACGGCTAAAATGACAGTGTACCTCAATATGTCTTGTTCGCTTATGAGACACCGGGTTGCTTACAATGTAAATAGCTGCTTAATTATCACAATGGAAAGTCATGAGCAATACGAAAACAATACTCATCTCCTACAGTAGTGCGCACACCCAAGTCATCTCGCAAGCAGCATGAGCCATAGCTCTATACTCGGCTTCAACACTAGAGAGGACAACAACTGTCTGTTTCTTACTTCAGCAAGTGGCCAAATTTCCTCTAACAAAAGTGCAATAACCACTAATAGAATGTCGATCAAGAGGATCACATGCCCAGTCAGCATCAGATTAACCTACAATATCCAAATTGTTGGAAGTACAATAAAAAGGTCCTTTTCCTAATGCACCTTTCAGGTATCGTAGTAACCGACAAGCTGCAATCCAATGTAGCTGATGTGGACTCCACATATCGACTGAGAACTCTAATAGCATAAGTGATTTTGAGACATGTAACCGTCAAATAGATAAGCTTGCCAATCAATTTCCAGTAACTACTAGGATCAGTGAGAGCTTCCCCAATATCATGATCAAGTCAACTTGAGAGTCCATAAGCATACGAACAGGCTTCAAATTAAGCATATCGGTGTCATCAAAAAGATCGAGAAGATACTTCCTTTAAGATAAAGCTAGTCTGTTAGAAAACAAGCAACCTCTATCCCGATAAAATACCATAAAACCCCTAGACCTTTCATGTGAAAATAAAAACTGAGATGTAGCTTCAAATCTCAAATGTCCTGATGATCATCCCCTAATATAACAATATCATCCACATACAACAAGAACAATAGTACCAATGGTAGAATGTCTAACAAGTAACAAAAATGGAATAATCTAATGCAATAGCTTCAAGCCATAGTTTCTAACCACTATACTAAATTTATCAAACCATGCACGAGGAGATTGCTACAATTTATAAATGGCTTTCTTAAGGCGACAAATTTTAGTAGGCTGCCCTTGAACTTCATATCCTAGTGGCTGAACCATATACACTCCTTGCAAATCACCATGCAAGAAGGCATTTTTTATATCTAGTCACTCATTTAACTCCTCAAATCAACTTCAAAAAGGTAGAAGCATCAACAATCATACAATATCTTTCAAAATTGATGTGATGGCAAATTGAAAGATGCCTTTGTACAGAGAAGCAACAACTACAGGAACATTGTACTAGAGATCACGTAAAAAGTAGGGCTAAAGAAAAAAATCAAAATTTACAAGAGAGTGGATTAGGGATTCAGTAATAGGAAGGTGACATAGACAATGCCACCTTCCTTTTCTATTGAAAAAAAATTATCCATGAAGTTGTACGTAATTTGTGATGGATTGGAGCACTATATGATTTTTATGATATTAGGACGCCATGGTAGTTTTATATAGATGCACAATTACGAATTGAGATGATTTTTATGGATACACAATGATGGGAAGTGCATCTTTCTAGTGCCCACGTCAGGATAGTACCACAAAGATATGTTGAAGGGGGAGGCATTCTTGATAACAGGTGGCAAGAGATTTTCAACAATTACAAAGGAGATAGGTGAGATGATCTATGTTGTAGCCACAAAAGAGGGGAATTCAGAGTTACATCATGTATGAAGAGGAAAACAGACCTTAAAAGAATTCAATGCTCTCATACTCGAGTAGCTACAAGTAGAACTGTCACTTTTGAGAAACACTTAACATTAAACTGATCTAATCTCTTGCTCTAAATTTTGATGAATCTATCTCACAATTGGATGAGACCTACGGAAGTTAACAATCGCAAAGAAGAAGACTGACCTAAAAGGCATTCAATAAGGAGAATATTAAATCCAAGTGAATTATCAACCTTATTGACAACAAAGGATAAGAGCTGACATATATCCTTTGATAATCGGGAAATCAAGAAGATCATTATGAAGTATAGATTTCTGATTCCAAGATTATAGAACGTGATACACAAGTTTGACTCAGCTTTGTCACAAAACTAGATCTATGGAGAGGTCATCATCACGTTTCGATTAGGTTGCAAAATAAGTGAAAAATAACCATTTAAAATCAAAGATGGACTGTATGGGCGGCTAGTTATGCTTTTTGGTACATCCAACACTCTTAAGCGCTTTCATGTGCCTCGTGAATCAGGTACTAAACTCTGGTATTGGGAAGTTTGATAGCATATATTTTGATGAAATCTGATCTATAGTTGGAGATGAAGCATTTGATGTACTTGAATGATGATTACTAGACTAATAATTGGAGATGAATGCCCTTAAAATAAGAACTAATCATGCTACCAAAAAGTGTGGTTATTTGAGTACAACCTTTGTTTTCTAGGCTTCATACGCATTAGTGTGATAAGGAATAATACCAACTATTCAAGTGACTAACAATATTAATTTCTACAGCTAGAAGCTCTCATGGATTACCAACATTCTATAGGCAGTTCATCCAAAAGTTCAGCAGTGATGTGTGTTGGAAAAACATGATATACACTATAGGCAGATATATGTATATCATGGTTTTTAAATTAAATAAAAAAGAAGAATGCCTGAAACGATTTCCTCCGTGAACAATTTTCTAAGATCTTCAGAAGTTAGATTTCTCAAGAGAAACAATCTCCAATAGAATCCAACACTCTTAAACTCTTTCATATGACTCATGAACAAGGTGCTAAACCCTTTCATTGGAAAGTTTGATAGCATATATTTCGATAGAATCTAATCCATAGTTAGGGATGAAGGATTTGAAGTACTTGAAAAAGTTTTATATCATGTAACTGGTTTGGCCCGTTGGATTTTTTCTTGAGAAACTGGCAATGATATTACATGGTGAATTCATGACATTAAAACTCCCAACCAAATCAACGTACCAAGATAGTAATCTCTCGCTTAAACTGAAGCTTAAAATCCAAGTCTATATGCCACCATGCGTCTCCAATTATTCTACATGAACATTGTCAAATTATAGGAAGTGCTTTCTAATGCTCAAATCAATAACACTTGAAAAGGAGTTTACATTCTATGTTTTTTCACTATATTAAACTAAAGTCCTCACTTATTTCCATAGGAAAAAATGCCTTAAATCATAGGATATCAATGACTGAATTCAACCATAACATTTACACGATTAGCAATTACTATGAGTGAAATGGAAATATAGGATGCTAGTCAGCATAATTCCTCCAAGCATACTTAGACTACTTAAACAATGGATGGGTTAAACCATAGAGAAATAGCTACTCTTTCTACTATATTTGTCTTGTAGTTAATGCAAAACTATCAATATATACACTTCAATTTAGTAAATCATCTTACCATGCATTACCCCTAATATTTCCACCAAACTATACAAATTGTTTCTCATAACAGTTACCTGCCAAAATTAATGAACACCCAGTTACAATCTTTATAGTTAAATCAAAGGAATCACCTTAATGCAACTACCAGTAGTCTCCCGAAAAGCTAGCTGTCAAATCTCTTATAAATCCACAATTTGCTCCTCATTAGTCAAACACGGGACTAAATGGACTCTAACATACCAGCATGCACGGGCTTTGGACAAGTCTAGTCCTTAGATGAACGCTGGCATGCCAGTGCCACCAACCACGCTGCTTTCTTGCAACCGGGAAGTAAGGTTGGCTCTAATAGGGAAGTCTATTATGGGTATATAACAGGAGTACAACTAACTTTTGGGGTGAGTCCTCATAGGTGTCTTACACAAAATCACATTAGGAATTAGAAAAGTACTAAAATTGGAAAAATAGAGAAAGTAAACAAACAAAACCCCTAAAATCCTAAAATCTCAAATCAAGAACCAACCTCACGATGAATCCTCTCAGAGTCCTGCCTCCTGCCAGGACCCCCAGACATCATCATCATCATGCCGTGGTGGTGCCGAATCACGCAGTCAGCCGAGTCGTCGGAAACTCGGGGCCCACACCAGACACCATCAGCAGCAACGCTCTGTTGCTGTTGTTGGTGGTGATGATGATGATCTCTATCCCTATCTCTGTCTCTCCTCTCTTTCTTCTTCTGCTTCAACCTCCTCCGCCTCGACCTCCTCCCCTGCAACTCCGCAGAAGACCTCACCTCGTTGGCG